TGGAGCTGTTAGTTTCAGCCGTTGTAAAATGTCAATTTTAAAAAATATTCCTAAAGTTTCGAATGTAGGCTACAAATTACATAAATTTACTTTATAATATTTCTGTTATTTTCTTGACAATAACATTAATTATTTTAGTGCACATGGAAGGCGGAGAATCCGTGTGACACATTGGTTATTGACAATGCTCATGGACATATTCTTATTCAAGGACTCGAAGCACACACAATTGCGACAACGATAATATATGGTGCAAATGATTCCATGCGTGATGAAATGCAAAATTTTCTACATCAAATGCATTATGTTTGGTTAAATGTGTACTTAAATCAATATAAACTGCAACATGTGGTGGCTGTTATAAAACAATATTTTCCATTTATTTAGCGAATGTATATATTGATTTCTCTATTTGGATAAAAAAAGACAAAAAGTTTAATTCTTTTTTATCAATTACTTGTATTCGTGAGAACAAGCAACTATTGCTAAATTTGCCTCTGCACTTCTATCAATTCTTGAATCGTTAATTGTTGATACTAGACAAGATGTCATTAAACTTACACTAAATGTCATGTTTATTATAATGTATTACAGACACACAAGAATAAAGAACAACGTAAATGGTTCAGTTAAGACCTTAAAGTTAAAGATGTATCCAATTCTAAATAGATGCTAGTATTTTAGCAAATTATATATAAAAAATGAACTGATTAAAATGTGTGACTGAACTAACAATACTCTAGTCTATATTGAGTGAAACAGCAACTCAACCTGTCTTCAATTGCTTATCTCTCTTGTATTCGATCATCTGCGATGACTAATGAAGTATAACAAAAGATTTTTCACATTTGGAAACATCCTGAAGCCTACACTTTTCGTCGTAGATTAGATCTGTCCATAAGAAAGTTAGAGTAAATTTGAATTTCAGAAAACTTCTTCTGCATTTATAGCTAGTTTAAATAATGCTTCGAATATTATGTTGAAATATTATGTTTCTTAAGAAATCATGTATAACTGCTCTTCAAAAATATCTTTTGTTGGATTATTCTATTTTTTAGGCATATATGATTCGATACATTTATTCTGTTTTATACGTTTTTATTAAGACTTTAAAAGCGATTATGTAATAGGTTAGAACTCAACATTTATTCAAGATTCATGAAAATAGTGAATTAAATCGATCCAAACATCTAACTCTCAACAACATCTCCCTCATCAATCATCAATGATATCATCTTTTCATACTATGTTTATTTATTATTTATCATTTCATTGTATCAACAAACTAAAAAACGTAATTCTTCATATTAGAAAAACATTAATCTTTCACTATCCCATCTCATTCTATTCATAAATTCATGAGAAACAAAAAATAACAAATCTTCGATTTTATACAGTTTATTTTGACACAAAGAATCAATAAATCTATATAATTAATTCTTTTCATAACTACTAACAAATTGTTTAGAATATATATTTTAATTATTTATTTACTTTCAAATATCTTACATATTCAATACATATGATTTCACAATTCTTTTTATTTTTCGTTCTCAATTATATATATTCTATTATTCATCTTTTTTATTATTTGGCTTTGGATTAAAATGATAATCTAATAAATCAACAACAACAAAACTTGAAATATTTTTAGATAAAAGTTTAAGTATAAAATAGTTATTGCCTGTAAGATGTGCTTTAGCAAAACTAGTAATATCAATAGGAGTATCCTTTCTTCGATGAATAAGATGTGTTCGTACATAATGTTCACGTGTTTTATCACTACTAACAAGATAATGTATTAAATGTCCAATCCATTTCATTAAATCAATAAAGATAATAAATGCTAAGAAAATAAACCAAATATATAAAAAGACATACATTTTTTCAACAATTATATTTAATGGTAATATACATTCAACAGTATATGCATGATTTGATGCTAATTCACGAAATGTAAAATCACAAAGTGTTCGTTTTGGAAATGCACTTGTATCAATTAATTCAGATACACCTGAACTTATTTTATTTATAAATTGACCAATAAAATGTGTTTCAAATGTATCTTCTTTTAAATGTTGAAAACGATTTATACCAAATGGACGTGTACCAATCATAAAATGAATTAAACTTATTTGAAATAAACAATTTAACAAATATAATAATTTTACACCAATATAGCATATTATTAAATAACATGAAAATATACGACTATGATGATGAAGACTATCAGTAACTATATCACCATCTTCTCGAACAAATAATCGAGAATCTAAATAATCAAGTTTATTATTACGAAATTCTGTAAGTGATTTTTTCTTTCCAAAATTAGGTATAAAATATAATTCACTTGCATTATCTAATAAAGATCTTATATCATGTTGACTACCTGAAACAGCTAAACGCCAAATTAATTTTGGTAAATAAAACAGAACTGCTTGAAGTGCAAAAATCCATGGCTAACAAAAAGACAAAACAAATAATTAGTTATTTTTTCGATTATTGCTTTTCTTTCTTTTTTGACTAATACATACCAACCATTGATAATAAATAATCAAACCTTCATATCGTTCATTTGTAGTTGAAGGTACACGTTGATCATCTGGTACATAATATGTATTATTTGCAAAACAATAAGCTGTTATAGCTCTTTCATATCGTTTTAATTGTGCAGGTGTCCAACAAATAATTGGTACAGTATAAGATGATTTGACGCCACAAAACAAAGCAAATACACATAAAATAGCTGATGTAAATTTATAACTTAAACGATCAATAACAAAATCATCAGCTTTAGCGCGAACATTAGCAAATGATAAAACACCAGAGAAATTGTTCACTAGGTGTAATAAATCCATTCAAAACCTACAGTTGTCACAATAATAAATATATGTATAAATGCTCGTGTATGATTACCTCTTACACTGCAAGGCAAGTAGAAAATTTTTTTTTTCTTTCCTCGACACTGCTCTCACAGTGCTCCCTCGGCACATATGTGTTTGACTACTCAGGAGTCAGCAAAAAGAACAAATGAAGAAAAGAACGAATAAAAACTTGACGTAATGCTTCATACAATAAATCTGTATGTTATTTTATATGCATATGTGTATGCTCTATCAGTTACCATACACGTATTGCTATGCACAACAGTAAAAGAAAAGAAAAACGTACTTAAGCTCTTCTTTCCATTTCTTACACATCTATTTCATTAAGATTTTTTCACTGGCCTTCTTCTTCTTCTCTTACCCACACGTTTATCGTTCTCACACTAGAATATATCCGATAAAACAAAAAAGAAACCATCAATAAGATGAAGATGTTCACATAACGTAATATGACTATCAATGTATGTTTGTCAGTAGACAGCAACATTGTTAATGTCATTTCTTTTTACCATTACACACTAAGATAAACACATAAGTTGCTTTATCAACAAAATGATTGCTAGATCTCATCAAGCAATCGAACAAAAATCAAATTTATTTTTCTATAATAAACAGAAACAAAAGGAACAAAAGAAAAAGAAAACAAAATTTAGTATTCTTCAATCATAGTTGAATGAAATATATTATCGAGCCAATCATGTTGTTGTGATAGATCTTCTCGATCAAAATCTTGTGATTTATAATTGAGATTTTCTGTACTTATATTAAAAAGAGATAAATTTGGTCGAAGTGAATATCTTGAATAATCATCATCTTCCTCTTCAACATTCACACTTTTCGCATACAGGTTTTCATGTATGATTTGTTTAAAATGATTTTCTTTCATCAAAGTTTGAATATGAAGAACATTTGAAGTAAATTTTGGTGGATGACGACGAGTTACAGGAGCACTTTGTGACATGAAATTAATATTCTAAAGAGTTAAGATAAGAATACTATAATAGAAGAAATTATTTAACTTACTTTCATAACAGTTTCTTTTGGTTTAACTTTCTTGTTATTTTTCTTTAATGTTTGAGAAGATTTTTTTGATGGAAGTAAAAGACTATGTGAAATATGAGAAAGAAGTTTTGATAATGAAGATATTGCTGACCATTTTTGATTTTTATTTGAGGACATGTTGAAAACCGAAATAATAGAACAGGCAATGAAATGAAATGACGTATATATATATATAGATAGATATGAAATTAAGTTACATGTAAGAGGTTTAAGTTAATTGTATATGAGAATCAAGAAGAAAAATAATAGATTCATTTTATTTAAATTAATGTTCTTATACTGTTTTAGAAATGGGAATATTGGCTCAATAAATTCACTATCATTTTGATCATCTTACGTAGACAATGTTCATATTCACTAATTAATAATAGACAAGAGAGAAAGAGAGCACATATGTTAGTATATCCTGAGAATGAAGTAAGTAGAAACATCTGTATAATATCAGACGCCTGTGAGACATATTATATAATTCGGTGAAAAGTAAGAGAATCAATGGTACAGAGAATACTTTTATGATAACCGTACATCACAAATT